AAAGCCGCTTCGCGACTTTTCAAACTCTGGCCCCGTCTTACCCTCTATGCACATCACCGTGCGTAAACTCCTGAATTCCTGGCAAAAAATGAAAAGCGGGTCCTCTCCCCATTATATAGGCTACCGCGACTTCCGGTGCATGCTAATTTGATCCTAACAAATTGGGGTCCGATTTTTCATAAAAACTTAATTTAACGCCGGAAACACTATATTTTGTAAAATCTGGATATGTGGGCAGTCATTCCCAGGCCATTACGCACCTAATGACGTATTGAACATACCCTAATGTACTTCCCCCTTGAGATACTAGCGGGAATACGTGACGGAAGTTGTACGGAAATGGACACACAAACAATACAAACACTATCAACCAGGCGCCAATTTTGCTGTGGTCTCCGTCTGTCTGTCCAGTGTGAAGCCGAATTCAACTTCGAAGGGGAAAGGAGCTAGAGCTTAGCTCTCTTCGGATACGGATAGAGCGCCACAGAAACCCCCAAACTGATAAAAAAATTATGAAAAAGTTTTAGTTTAAATTATTAAAATTAACTTTGAAAGTTTTTCCTTAGTAAAAGGGGTGGGGGCCCCTCTCTCGGGATGCCACGCCCCCTTTCCCTTCGCCCCTCTTCCCCAGGCCCTTTCCCGCGCCCAGATAGCTTTTTTTAAGTTACTTTAATACTTTTTAATACTTTTAATACTTTTTAATACTTTTTAATTATGTTAATTAATTATTTAAATCATCTAAAGCCATCGGGAAGGTATTTAGGTAGTTTTTGAAGGGGATTTCAGCCATGGGGGTTATCTAAAGCCATCGGGAAGGTATTTAGATAGTTTTTGAAGGGGATTTCAGCCATGGGGGGTATCTAAAGCCATCGGGACGGTATTTAGGTAGTTTTTGAAGGGGATTTCAGCCATGGGGGGTATTGATGGGGGTGGGAAAGGATGTGGTGGAGTGGGACATGTAGGGTAGCCCGAAGGCCAGATGGTTGCAGTCGCGAAGCGACTGAAACCATCTGGTTTTTTATATATAGTAGGATAAAGGTTGGATTTTTTGGGTAATCGTCTGATTTTCAGTCATAAAAAATATTATGGCGATCCAAATAGCCTAATTTTCTAGAAGAAATTCACCTTGCTAAATTCTGTCCTTTCAGATCCTCCTTTCAAACCCAAAATTTTCTAACCTTTTGTTCGCGCGCCCACACACACACACACATGAGCTAATTTCCGAGTCCCGTTCAAGCAGCGGTTTTTGCACGCAATCTCCCAGGGAGACCACTGTTTTTGATCTTTGCGGGCAGAGCATTGGGGCAATGTATCGCAGTGACGTTCTATTTTTAGTTTTAAACTCTATTTTCTAGATGCCCTCATCAAACCTGAAAATCTATTAAACTTGACTTTTCAGGGGCAATGGGCCAATCGGTGGCCAAGGCGGACAACTTTGCCTGGTCCTACACCGAGGAGCCGCACGCGACCAGGTTGGTGTTTGGGAAATTCGGTGCTTGTGCAATACCGGTGGGCGATTTGCCTCGTCCTATCCAGACATTCCAGAGTATTGCACGACGAAATGCATTATAGATCGATAAAATGTTTGGAAATTTCCAAATTTTGGTCGAAAAACCGGGTTTTTGTATTTTAATACAAAGTTGTAAAGTTTGTATGAAAAGTTAATGAATGAAACAGGAAGTAAAATATTTTATTGTAGACGCAAAGAAATCCTTGCCAAGTACCCGCAGGTGAAGGAGCTGTTCGGCCAGGACCCCGCCTTCAAGCCGACCGTCGCGTGCATGGTGTTGGCCCAGATTTGCTTTGCGTATCTGTTGAGAGGTCGGTTTAGTCTTCAAAATAAAAATAGTAAAGCCTTCTATTTATTCTGAATTTTATGTATATTTTCAGATTCCCACTGGTTCCTCGTGTTGCTGCAATGCTACTTCGTGTCCGGCGTCTTCAACCACTCGTTGACGTTGGCGATCCATGAAATTGCGCACAACCAGGCATTTGGCTACACGAGCCCGCTGGCGGTCAGTTTTTCGCTAAAAATTCAGAGTTTCATTTATTTTTTTAGCAATTGAAAAATTAATTCAAAAAAATTTAGAATCGCCTCTTCGGCTTCTTCGCCAATCTGCCCCTCGGCTTGCCCATGTCGGTGTCGTTCAAAAAGTACCACCTCGAGCACCACCGGCATCAAGGTGAGCATGGCCTTGAGCTTAAATCTACTTTTCTTCCTATTTACCGTACCTTTCTTTAGCTCTACAAATTAAATTTACAAATTTCGAATGTCGGTTTGAATGTTTCGAATTTTTACGTAGTACCTAACTCGACCGTTTTCTGATTTCTTTATTTCCAGGAGAAGATGTCATCGACACCGACGTTCCCAGCGAGATCGAGTGCCACTTCTTCACCACGACGCTCAGAAAAGCGCTTTGGGTAGTACTCCAGCCGGTCTTCTACGGAATTCGCCCACTGTTGATCTACCCAAAGGTGCGCCTTTTTTTTTGATCATCCCCCCTTTTTAGGCGGTCACCGACCTCGAGCTGGTCAACATCGCCATCCAGCTGTCGTTCAACTACGCCGTCTACCACTACTGGGGCGTCAAGTCGTTGTTGTATCTGTTTGGCGGGTTAGTTTTTCAAATAAAAAAACTAGGTTTTGATTTTCTTCAGGCTTGTCCTTGGGCTTGGCCCCCATCCTCTAGCCGGTCACTTCATCGCCGAGCACTACACGTTCCAGCCCGGTCAGGAGACGTACAGGTATCGAAGCCTAGCCTACGTTTTTTCTATGTGTATTTTTAGCTACTACGGCCTTCTGAACCACGTGACGTTCAACGTCGGCTACCACGTCGAGCACCACGATTTCCCGTTCGTCCCCGGGTGTAATTTGCCGAAGGTAAATAGCCAAACCCTTTTTTTAACTAGCCTTAACCACGAAAATTTGATTGATTGATTTTGCAAGAAAAAGACAGTTTTCCTTTCGAGTTTCCTCGTCTGTTAGTTTTCGAAAAATTTAAAGACTTTCGATTTTTTTCGAAATCGATTTTCCAGGTCCGCCACATCGCCCCCGAGTTCTACAAGGACATCAAGTCGCACGACTCCTGGACGGCGGTCATCTACAACTTTATCACCGACCCGAAAATCTCGCTCAGGTTTGTATAATCGCAAATTTCATGGAATTCTCTTCTTCAGAAATCGCATCAAGCGCAAGCTGGCCCCCGAGTCGGAGCAGCACTTTTACGGCGTCGGCACGAACGAGACGAACTACGTGTATAGGAGTGCCGAGAAACTCATCAAGCTCGCCTCACTGCCGCACATGAAATCTTCTTAATTTTAGCCTTTTATATGCTGTGATTCTTAGCTAATTTTGCCACTTTTTTGGTCTTTGTAGTCTGTATTTTCCCACTTTTTATAGGCGTCTTGCCCTCTTTGGTGCTGTCTTGCCGATTTTCGTTGATCGAGTTTTCGCTAGTTTTCATACTGTGTATTTTGTCTTGCCTAATTCTCGCCGATTCCCGTGCGATGCGTGTCTTGCTTCTGTCTTGCCCCCGCCCCACTTGTGAAATTTTCTACTTGCCCCCGTTGGCCGCTAGCGCCGCTGTGCCCTTGCCGCATCGACATTGTGAGAAATTTGAGATTTTTGCTGTTTTTTTTTGCATAAATATTTTGAGAAGTAGATCGGTGGAAAATACGATACGAAAATATGGCTTCGCTATCGTAATGACTATTTTCTTTGGAAATCCGTTTGAAAGCTAGTTCGGATCTTGGGTTCTTTCGCATTATCGGGGGGGATTTTCTTGATATCCAATTTTTCCTAATGGTTTTTACTTTTGCTAAGCGTAAAAACTATATAAATTTTCCAAAAATCCAAAAACGTCGACCTTTGACAAAATTTAGAATTTTTTTAACAATTTAGCATAATAACAACAGATCGACAGGGCGCGATTTTCACATTTTCTGGTCCCTTTAAAACCGGACATGCAAGCAGCGCGATAAACAAAACCATTTATTAACACAAAAAAATTGTGGGTTAGGCAAAAATTAGGTTGATCATGGCTCGGCGGCGTGCTGGTGAACAGGTTGCGGGGGCGGCTGCGGTGCGACCGGGTGGGCGACGTACGGGCAGAAGCTGTCGCGATTCCACAGCGCCGCGAACCACAGCAACGCGCCCAGCCACAACGACGCCAGGAGGAGCAGTCGGATGCCGCGGAACGTCCAGTCTGAAGAAGTCGGATTAGCTTAGGTTTGGCTTATGCTTGGCTTATGCTTGGCTAAGGCTTGGCTTAGGCTTGGCCTCTGCTTGTAGGCTGGGCTTAGGCTTAGCTTTAAAAGCCCCACTCCACTGCTTCACCAGCGGCTCGACGGCCGCCTCGACGGGCGCGCTGAACGGTGACGTGGCCTTGGCGGTGTCGACTTTGTTCTGGAAATTGGGCTTGAGCAGCTGCTTGAACTCCCCCCAAAGAATCGCTGCTAGCCCGCCCAGCTCACCAATGCCTCGTCCCGCATCCGCAACGCCTCGATGACGTCGAGCAGCGGCACCTGCTGCCCGCCCACCTCGATTCGCATTTTCTGAATTCATTTTTAAAGTTGTTTTCGGTAAAAACACAGTAAGTGACGCGGCGGGACCCGCGGCTGAAGTTGGCAATGGTTCTGTGACATTTCGATGAATTCTAAAGGTATAAAAACATCAATTGTAACATCAAGTAGCCCTACCGTATGCTATGGATAGAAAAGTACAAAAGGACAATTTTTGAGCTTTTCTGAAAATTCGGGTAATGACTGTATGCAATTTCGATGTTTTTAATTTGAGTTTATTCTTAAATGCAAATCAAGTAGCCGTAATTTCTAAGATGCAAAAAGCTTTATTCAAACCACACATAATACAGATTTTTGATATGTACGCGGTAGTTTTAATCCACAAAAACAATTGAGATAATACTTAATTAGCAAAATGGGCATTAAAAATTTACCAGTAATGAGTGTGAAACGTAATAATCGGTGTTTTAAGAAATTGTGAAGTCAGAAAAATTATCAGGGTTTTCCATGCAATTCCAGCAGGCAAAAAAGGGATTACAAAAGATCATTCTGATGCCAGAAAATTGCGGAAAACGTTACGGTAAGGGGTTACGGTAGCAAAATAAAGGTTTACGGTACACACGAAACGTCAAAAAGCGCCAAAATGCTCGTGGTGTCAATTTTTTGGCCATACTTTTGCTGGTGCGCTCCGCTTAAAAACGTGCGCTACAATATCGTACAACATTTCCCCCCTGATCGTCTACTAGACGTTGAAGCATATCGATTCTTCCCATATCGTCTCTCATCACTATCCGGCCTCGCGCCCGGTAATCGCAAAGTTTTCTTCTTAGGCGCTGAGCTGCCCGAATTGGATTGGCCTCGACTTCTCTCTATTTGCCGACAAACATCGGTAAAAATCTGAAAAAGCATTTGTCGTTTTTAGACATTTACTCAATTCCACTATATTATCCTATTTTTAGACCTACCTCCGAAACGTTGTGGTTCAGCTTCGCGCTGGCTTCGTAGAAGGAGCAGCCCCATTCGCGCGCTACCTAAAATTGCATTTTGACTAGTTTTTAAGGATCTTTATATCTCACTCACTCTCACTCTCTCTCTCTCTCTCTCTCTCGCCTAAAACCCACATGTCGTCCATGTTCCGTTGGAATTACTCGCTGCCCGTGCAAATCGCTCTTGTTCCCCACGACTACCATCGGCACCTGATGACGTCAACTGGCGTATAAAAAGTACGAATCCGCTACCGTACCTGCTGCCCCTGTTTCAGGTGCATTATTAGCTTGTGGATGGGGAGGAGCTCTCGCAGCGAATGGGGGTCGTCAACTAGAATTTGGAGTAGTACGAAACTTTACGTTTGAAAAGGCAAGTCCCATGCTTATTCGTGCCATTCTACAACTTCTGGAAAATCAAAGAAATTACCTGAATAAACCAGAATAAAACCCTGGCCGGATTTCACGTATAAATCGCGCATCCCGGAGAATTGCTCCTAAATTTTTGGAATAAAAATAAAGCTTTTTCGATACAGAAAAAATATTTGCAAGGTATGCTTACTAACCGTTCCCGCCGTGTCCAAAATCTCGACCCTCGTTTCGCGCCCATCGATCTGAATATGTTTCCGGTAGCTGTCCTCGATCGTCGCATCGTAGCTGGACACAAAGTGCCCCTGCACGAATTGGACTGTCTAGAAAATAACGTAAATTCGTTTAGTGGCAAAAAACGTCCAAAACTTGAGACGGTTTCGAATTTTTGAAAATTAATTTCGACTCACCAAGGCGCTTTTGCCGACCCCGCCGCTGCCGACGACGACCACCTTGAATTCCCGCATTCGAGGCACGTCACTAAAATCGTAAAAATCGAAAAATGGCTTCAATAAAGTTGGTAAAATAAAGAAAGCGAGAGATAGAGAGAGCGGGAGAGAGAGCATGAGAGCCACGTCGATAGATTAGGAGAGAAAGGGGCTATTTAGAGTGTAGGGATTTAAAAGAGAGAGAGAGAGAGAGAGAGAGAGAGAGAGAGAAGGAGAGAGAGAGAAGGAGAGAAAAGCTTGCCTGAAAACCTAAAAAAAACGGTGGATGAAGCCGAGAATTAAAGCAAGAAAACTAGTTGTCGATAAATTAAACCCATCAAACGCTTGTTTTTTTTAGAAGCGGATGATGTGGATGTGCGTTGCGCTGGTGCGGGGCTGGAATCGGCGCTTCCTGCGCTGTCATCTCGCAGCGCCGGGGCGGAATGGACGGGTCTCCGCGTGGCCAAGCGCCCCCACACCCCGAGATTGCTCCAAGAAAAACGAGGAAAACACATGTGCCCCCGGACTAATTGCTCGCGCTGCTGCGAATCGTCCCCCCCTACGCCGCAGAATGTTGCGTTTTTTGCTGCAAGACCGGAAATTTGGTTTTAGCTACGCTGGGTGTAATCGCAGAATTTTCTAGATGAAACAGGTAGACAATCGGAAAAGCCAAAACCTAAAAATTCTTGACTCGAGAAATTAAAGATGAAGCTTTACTTTGCCTAATTTTGCAAGACTGCATAGAAATCTCTAAAAAAATAACGTCAAAAATGCAATAGTAATAGCAACAACGGCGGGTAATGGCAGAATTTTTGTCCGTCCACAACGGTAAGCTAAAACTCGAAAATTTAAATTTTTGCATCATTAAACCCAACGCACGTAAATTGCAAAACCCGAATAACGTCAGCTAAACTCCTACAAAACAGCGCTCAACAAATCTTCGCCGAAATGACCCCAAAAATCTGGTGTCGTATAATCGCGATAAGCCGGCGGATCCGGGAAAAAAAGCTGTCGCGACTCCTGTAAAAATGGCAAAGAAGGAAAATTCGCCTAAATTCCCTCAAATTTACTACATGAAAGTGTTTACAAAGGTAGCGATTTAACGTGGCAGAAATAAAAACCATGAGAAAGCTCGCAAAACGCGAAATTTTGACCCGACCCCAAATTTTATGCAAAACTCGAGGTCGGGCCACTTTTGCTTCAACTCAATTCCAAGCGCCAGACCACGGCCATCGAAACGACTTATCACGCCGCGTGTGTGTCGCCATTGTATAAGCCGCATGATTAACGGGCGCCTAAATAAATTCGGCGCTTGCGTGTCGACGCGAAAAAAGGTGAAAAACGTGTCGATCGGGGTAGGTTGAGTTCTACAAGATTGGCAAATAAAACGAACAAAAATCTACCTTATTCGTTGCGATAAATATTTCATTTGAAGCGCGTGAATCCTCCCGAAAGCCGAGATGAATTAAAAATGAATCAAAACTAAAAAATAAGGAGCATTACGCAACCACCTTTCAAAAATTTAGCGTTTATTTTTACGGAAAACTACCGAAAATCTAAAACTCATAAAACATACCCGACACGGCCCGATCCAACATAAGGACGGCCCGAACTTTCCACGAAACCCATGCACAATTGACTCGAACAAGGGCGCGCTGAATCAGCCACCCGGCTCGATTCTGGTAGTCGACAAGAGAGACCACCGCCGGTTGCTTGGGGTAAAGAAACATGATTTCCGCCGCGTATGTTTGGGCTGTGAAGGTGGGAAGTGTGATTCGGAGAAGATGCGGGAAGAGCGGTGGCGGACCCCGATAAACACATATACAAACACAATGACAGCCAACCCCGCGACGGCTCCCGGATCTCGGCGGCGACCTCGGTAGGTGCCGGAAATAAATAACGGATTTACTCTAACCTAACTATTCTAACTAACTGATCTAACTACTAGTAAGCCTACCCTTCGGGGATGCCCGAAAAAATAGAACATGAAATGAAATAAGAATCTTTGTGGTCTAATGAGAGTAGCTTCACGCGATCTGAAGCGGTAAATCCCGATGGGGTTGGTCCAAAATGGTAAACTTTAAGAATTTTTGGTATCTCAAACGATCGAAAAATTGAAGTTCTGGCTGTACGCCAGTTTCCAGTCATAAAAAAGACTTGAGCTTATACTAGAGGAAATCGGCATCGAGATCTAGAACTACTTGGAAGGGCGGGGAGAATCCAGTCATCTAATCCAGTCTCATCCCATTTCAAGCCTGATTCCCGAGCAATTGAGGACCTAAACTGTATCATCGTTTCAGAGACAACGTAGGCTTTCCAGTCCCAGCGTGCCATAAATTTTTTCCACCGCGCGAGACAACGAGTGCCGAGCGTAGTTTTCCTCACCAAGCGCGTTCAATTCCCAAATCCGGTAAAATGCATCGATCAAGGCACAAGGCAAAATCCATGTAAAAGCCTTCCCGTCCAATCTTCTCAAAACTAAACGAAAAATTTATTCTTCCCAAACCGATTGTACCGGTAAAGTTTAATGCTTAGCGTCGAATCATGAAATTCAAGGCGATTATAAAACAAGTCAATCAAGCAGAAAATAAAGACAATAAATCATCACATAGAAGCTAATTAAACAAGAAGGTCGGCATGACTTCTTTCATGCGTTCGCGGAGACGGGCCGTCGACTCGCGGTCCTTGTCGATCGAGATCTTCTAATAAAGACGTTTGAAAAAGTTTTCAAAACGATCCCAACCTTGCTGCGAGCCGGGCCGACAGGACGCTGCGAAGAAGACGAGGGCTAAAAGATCAAATCAATCAAAAATAATTCGTCGAACGCACCGAATCGCTGCTGGATGTGTCCCCGTTCAGCACCCGCATGCGGTCGGGAATCGGCGCCATGGTGAACGTTGTGTGGCTGATGTCCTGGGTTCAAAAATAAACAAAATAGCATCAAAGCTCACATCGAAATCCGGCATCCACGAGGCGCGAGCTTCTGGCTCCTGCTTGATCTGTGGCGGGGTGGGCGCGGCCGTCTGTTTTCGCTGCTTGTACTCTTCCAACGACAACTTGCGCGGCTGGGCGGCCGGTGGTGAGGCTGAAAAGGAAGATAAAAGGTCAAAGAGTTTGAACTTACGCTCCGGCTCCGTCTTGATGTTCACAGCGGCAGGCGGAGGCTGATGCGCAATGCGTCCGTGAGAGGAAGGCGGCCACTCAAATAGTTCCAAAAAAAGTTTTCAACACACTTACCTGGTTTTGGAGTGGCTGAGCGAAGACGTTGTGGGGACCGTTTGGCGCGGAGGAGATGGTGGCGGACGTGCGCGATGAGTGCTTATGTGCATCCTGTCCTTCGTCAGCCTGTCGACGGCGAACCGCTGGCCGAGCGCGTATATTGGCTGCTTGTTGCTAAAAAAGCAGTTTGCCGACGAACTAGTAAAACACACCTGTTCAGATCCGTATTCGGCCGCGGCTTCTTTCCGACCGACGTCCGAGGAGTAGCAGAGTGTCGCGTCGGGGGCGACTTACTGGCCTCCCGTCCGCGCCTCTTCCGCTCTCCGTCCGCGCCACTGTGCTGCTTGCCCATCGGAATATCGCGGTGCCTTTCCTCTTCGCGTCCCTAAAAAGAACGGTTACCGCAACAAAATCCAAAACCCTACCATTCGGTCAGAATTGTCAACGTTGAACGGCTTGGGCTTCTTCAAGGCCGAACGGAGCGGCTTCTCAACAAGTTTGACCTGAAATTTCAATTATTCATGATACTGTAATTAGATTATTGATTTTAATAAAATATTCAATCTATCAAAAAGCAAGAGCGGAAAAATGAAGATCCGAAAAAAGCCAATTTCCCACTGTCCAATTTACCGTAATAGCGACAACTCTTGAGTTACCGCGGCACAAAAAAGAGCTACGTTTTGCGAAAAAGCGCAAAAATTGTATAAAACGCATGATTTGGCAAATATTAACACACATAAAACCAATTACGGTACATAGGTAAGAAAAAAATTACCTCTGGAGCCACGTAATCTCCACGCGAGCCGCACTGGCCTTCTTCGAACGACTTGTAGCCGCTGCTCGTAGTGCTCCGGGGCGTCTTCGAACCGAGTTCCTTCATCTTCTGTTGACGCGCTCGCTCGGCAGGGCAGTTGGCGATATTCGCACACGTGCACGCCAGGGGAGATGCGGAGTGAACGTAGTCGGCGTCGAACGGAGGGTCATCTAAAAAGAAGTAAAACGGTCACCACTGCGACAAGATATACCTCAGAGCCAGATTCAATTCGCTCATCGGCGGTCAACATAAAACGAACGACGCCCTTGAGCTTGCAGTGCTTCAGAACGGTGTTAGGCTTGCAGGACTGGCGAATGAAGCGCGCATCTCCGCCCTTCTGACGAGCGTCGAGGATGAAACGCCGGTTGATCGCGCCGCGAAAGTTGTACATCAAACAATGGGGCTGTATTTGGACTACCTGGAATAATAAATCAAAGGTGAATAAAAGAAAAGAAAGCAAGTTCAAAAGAGGAAGCGTGCTTTCGTATTATTGGGAGCAGCTACTTTTTTTAAGCTTCAATTCTTCTCACATGAAACGAAGAAGTGTTTCCAAACTATTTTGGCTATGTCTAAGCCTCCAAACTTTGCCATCTTGATCAAAAGACAGACATTCCAAAAGCCTTCCAAAATGCTACCTCTTAACAATTTTCCTAAACTTTTAGTTAGTTTTTACACGGTAAATTGAGTTCAATTTGCCACCAATAATTAGAAAGAACCGAAAGATATATACCCCGCCTACAGGCTCTCGTTCAGGACATTCTTCGAGCAACGAGACGCGGCTCAGATATTCGGCGACGATCGTATTCGGCTCCAGCACCTCCACCGCCAACATCCCCTTCTCCTGCGTCTCGTCGTTGACCACCGCGATGATGTACTAAAAGCAACAAAACATGATCAAAAATACGCGAATACCTTGGGTGGCTGCAATTGAGTCATGACCATGTTGGCAAGACGCTCAGGCTGAGTATCGCTGATCCCCGCAAACAGCTTTTGGGTGCGAGCCGCT